ATAGACAGGTATGTATACCAACGGTGCCCCCCCCCCCGCTGCGCCACGTGGCGGAGCCCGAGCGGTACGCCTGGCACCCGCTGGCGCTGCATCCGCTCGAGCTCGCCAGGCAACTCACGCTGCTGGAGTTCCATCTCTATAGACAGGTATGTATACCAACGGTGCCCCCACCCGCTGCGCCACGTGGCGGAGCCCGAGCGGTACGCCTGGCACCCGCTGGCGCTGCATCCGCTCGAGCTCGCCAGGCAACTCACGCTGCTGGAGTTCCATCTCTATAGACAGGTATGTATACCAACGGTGCCCCCACCCCGCTGCGCCACGTGGCGGAGCCCGAGCGGTACGTGGCACCCGCTGGCGCTGCATCGCTCGAGCTCGCCAGGCAACTCACGCTGCTGGAGTTCCATCTCTATAGACAGGTATGTATACCAACGGTGCCCCCCACCCCGCTGCGCCACGTGGCGGAGCCCGAGCGGTACGCCTGGCACCCGCTGGCGCTGCATCCGCTCGAGCTCGCCAGGCAACTCACGCTGCTGGAGTTCCATCTCTATAGACAGGTATGTATACCAACGGTGCCCCCCACCCCGCGCGCCACGTGGCGGAGCCCGAGCGGTACGCCTGGCACCCGCTGGCGCTGCATCCGCTCGAGCTCGCCAGGCAACTCACGCTGCTGGAGTTCCATCTCTATAGACAGGTATGTATACCAACGGTGCCCCCCACCCCGCTGCGCCACGTGGCGGAGCCCGAGCGGTACGCCTGGCACCCGCTGGCGCTGCATCCGCTCGAGCTCGCCAGGCAACTCACGCTGCTGGAGTTCCATCTCTATAGACAGGTATGTATACCAACGGTGCCCCCCACCCCGCTGCGCCACGTGGCGGAGCCCGAGCGGTACGCCTGGCACCCGCTGGCGCTGCATCCGCTCGAGCTCGCCAGGCAACTCACGCTGCTGGAGTTCCATCTCTATAGACAGGTATGTATACCAACGGTGCCCCCCACCCCGCTGCGCCACGTGGCGGAGCCCGAGCGGTACGCCTGGCACCCGCTGGCGCTGCATCCGCTCGAGCTCGCCAGGCAACTCACGCTGCTGGAGTTCCATCTCTATAGACAGGTATGTATACCAACGGTGCCCCCCACCCCGCTGCGCCACGTGGCGGAGCCCGAGCGGTACGCCTGGCACCCGCTGGCGCTGCATCCGCTCGAGCTCGCCAGGCAACTCACGCTGCTGGAGTTCCATCTCTATAGACAGGTATGTATACCAACGGTGCCCCCCACCCGCTGCGCCACGTGGCGGAGCCCGAGCGGTACGCCTGGCACCCGCTGGCGCTGCATCCGCTCGAGCTCGCCAGGCAACTCACGCTGCTGGAGTTCCATCTCTATAGACAGGTATGTATACCAACGGTGCCCCCCACCCCGCTGCGCCACGTGGCGGAGCCCGAGCGGTACGCCTGGCACCCGCTGGCGCTGCATCCGCTCGAGCTCGCCAGGCAACTCACGCTGCTGGAGTTCCATCTCTATAGACAGGTATGTATACCAACGGTGCCCCCCACCCCGCTGCGCCACGTGGCGGAGCCCGAGCGGTACGCCTGGCACCCGCTGGCGCTGCATCCGCTCGAGCTCGCCAGGCAACTCACGCTGCTGGAGTTCCATCTCTATAGACAGGTATGTATACCAACGGTGCCCCCCACCCCGCTGCGCCACGTGGCGGAGCCCGAGCGGTACGCCTGGCACCCGCTGGCGCTGCATCCGCTCGAGCTCGCCAGGCAACTCACGCTGCTGGAGTTCCATCTCTATAGACAGGTATGTATACCAACGGTGCCCCCCACCCCGCTGCGCCACGTGGCGGAGCCCGAGCGGTACGCCTGGCACCCGCTGGCGCTGCATCCGCTCGAGCTCGCCAGGCAACTCACGCTGCTGGAGTTCCATCTCTATAGACAGGTATGTATACCAACGGTGCCCCCCACCCCGCTGCGCCACGTGGCGGAGCCCGAGCGGTACGCCTGGCACCCGCTGGCGCTGCATCCGCTCGAGCTCGCCAGGCAACTCACGCTGCTGGAGTTCCATCTCTATAGACAGGTATGTATACCAACGGTGCCCCCACCCCGCTGCGCCACGTGGCGGAGCCCGAGCGGTACGCCTGGCACCCGCTGGCGCTGCATCCGCTCGAGCTCGCCAGGCAACTCACGCTGCTGGAGTTCCATCTCTATAGACAGGTATGTATACCAACGGTGCCCCCCACCCCGCTGCGCCACGTGGCGGAGCCCGAGCGGTACGCCTGGCACCCGCTGGCGCTGCATCCGCTCGAGCTCGCCAGGCAACTCACGCTGCTGGAGTTCCATCTCTATAGACAGGTATGTATACCAACGGTGCCCCCCACCCCGCTGCGCCACGTGGCGGAGCCCGAGCGGTACGCCTGGCACCCGCTGGCGCTGCATCCGCTCGAGCTCGCCAGGCAACTCACGCTGCTGGAGTTCCATCTCTATAGACAGGTATGTATACCAACGGTGCCCCCCACCCCGCTGCGCCACGTGGCGGAGCCCGAGCGGTACGCCTGGCACCCGCTGGCGCTGCATCCGCTCGAGCTCGCCAGGCAACTCACGCTGCTGGAGTTCCATCTCTATAGACAGGTATGTATACCAACGGTGCCCCCCACCCCGCTGCGCCACGTGGCGGAGCCCGAGCGGTACGCCTGGCACCCGCTGGCGCTGCATCCGCTCGAGCTCGCCAGGCAACTCACGCTGCTGGAGTTCCATCTCTATAGACAGGTATGTATACCAACGGTGCCCCCCACCCCGCTGCGCCACGTGGCGGAGCCCGAGCGGTACGCCTGGCACCCGCTGGCGCTGCATCCGCTCGAGCTCGCCAGGCAACTCACGCTGCTGGAGTTCCATCTCTATAGACAGGTATGTATACCAACGGTGCCCCCACCCCGCTGCGCCACGTGGCGGAGCCCGAGCGGTACGCCTGGCACCCGCTGGCGCTGCATCCGCTCGAGCTCGCCAGGCAACTCACGCTGCTGGAGTTCCATCTCTATAGACAGGTATGTATACCAACGGTGCTCCTCACGTCGGTGCTTTATACCCCGAAGTGACTTACAATACAGTTCCACAGCAATGACTTAGCAGCCGGATCGCAGGCAACGTGTTCCAGTTGGGATTCCTGTACGGATCAAATCTCAAATCATAGCCACGGTCGTCTATAAACGACAAACAAAAAATGTGTCGTCAACTGTGGCCAATATGAAAACATTATTTTTAAGTACATTTTTTTTTATTGGAACCACAAACTAGTTCACAATACACCTTAATTTTTAGGTTTTAACTAATACAAATTTACTGAACTTAATCTCGCGGGTTTCTCACGTAAATATACTGAGAAAAGCTCTACTACTTTCGAACCACACAGGGGTTCTTCCTCATGAGCAGCGTGCGCGGTCGCGGCGATGTCACGCAGCCTACTCAGTGAGTTTCTCAGTATATTCACGTGAGTAACCCGCGAGTTTAAGTTAATTTAGTATGTCCCACGGTAGTTATTATAAATACAATTTTACTTATTACAAACTCAACATCAATGGTCACCTAAAATATAAATGATTTACAAAATGATGAATGAATCTAATCGTAAATAATCGTAAGTTTCATAAGAGGGGTTACCGTGGTGAGTATAATGAAAAAAACTCATGTTATACAATGAGAATACGATGGTAGTCAATTAACACTAGTAGACATTATTCTAACGTTGCCCCATACTACGATTTCCTTCCCGTGTCGTGTGTACGTTTACAAACACACAAGTTCACATACACATGACAACAGTCTGTAGATCACACAAAAAGTTGCTCTGTGCGGGAATCAAACACGCTACACATTTCGCGGCTGTCAGTTTCCCAGTATTCATCTAAATATTTGATTCATTAAAATAAATAGCCTTGTAGTATTCGGGCTTTAAACTATAATTATAATGATTCATTTATTAAAAAATGTTTTTTGCAGGTGAAACCTTCAGAACTGGTGGGTGCGGTGTGGACGAAGAAGGACAAGGAGAAGACCAGCCCCAACTTGTTGAGGATTATCAAACATACCACCAATGTCAGTAACTATATATACATCTTACATCTTTATATATAATTCTTCTGTAAGTGTGTATGTCACGGAACTTCTCTCAAACGACAGGACCGATTTTAATGAAATTTTTTGTGTGTCTTCAAAGGGATCTGGGAATGTTTTAGATTCACAAATCAGCCCGGCAGATGGCGCTGCAGTCGAACTAATTTGAATGAATTTTTGTTTATACATTCAAGTGGATATGCAGGACAACGTCTGTTGGGTCCGCTAGTATAATATATATATATTAATTAATGAGATGACTGCCTCGTTGGCCGAGTGGTTGCTAGTGCGACTGCCAGGCAAGGGGTCTCGGGTTCGTTTCCCGGTTTGGGCAAAGTATTACTAGGTTTTTTAAAAATCTCAGTAGTAGCGCGGAGCTATAATTCCAAGCCCCGTACTACTACTGAGATTTTATATAAGGCTATAGGCTCACCCCCTATTACATGGGACTCATAACATATATAGTGAAAAGTGGGTGTTAACTTTGTGTGCACCTCTGCCTACCCCTTCGGGGATAAAAGGCGTGATGTTATGTTATGTATAATTTATGAGATATTTGCTATTTCTAAGGTCGAAAATATAGTTTTTGAATATTTAAATTATTAAAATGCATCAGGGTGCGAGCTGGAAACCTGACAAATACCAATGTGACGTTTTCCGAGTTATATGTACTTTCTAAGATTATCTAGACACCACTGACAAACGGTGAAGGAAAACATCGTGAGGAAACCTGGGCTTATAATTTGTAATTATAAGTTTGTAATCGCCAACCTGCATTGAGCAAGCGTGGTGATTAATGCTCAAACCTTCTCCGTGTGAGAGGCTTTTATAGACTGTTGATGATACATTTGATGAAACAAATATGAATGTACACCTTTATATTTTCAGTTCACACGCTGGATGGAAAAATGGATAGTCGAGAGCGAAAACTTGGATGAACGGGTCGGAGTCGTATGTAGAGTGTTGGAACTGAGCGTAGCATTACGACAACTCAATAACTTCAACGGGGTACTGGCAGTCGTCGCGGCCTGCGGCTCAGCTTCAGTACATCGGCTCCGAGCCACCTTCCAACTCCTGCCCCCAAGGCTGTCTAAAGCACTAGAGGAGTTCCGGGAACTGAACTCTGATCATTTCAGACGGTATCAGGAGAAGTTGAGGAGTATAAACCCGCCGTGTGTGCCTTTTTTCGGCATGTATCTGACAAATATATTGCATATTGAGGAAGGAAACCTAGGTATGTATTCACTTACTAATTTATTTTACACGTTTTTCGTTTCATACTTGTCACTTTCAACCGACTTCAAGAAGGGAGCCTCTCAGTTAGATCTGTGGCGACACATGTCCCACTTCACTTGACAGCGTGACAGTTCACGCATATAGACTATCGATGAACGGATGACGTCACAAAACCCTACATCGCACATGTGAAGTTTACATGCGAATTAACACCGATAGAAGATCCCAATGAACAATTAACTGTTGGGCAGGAAGCTCGCCAGGCACAAACACCTCGCTTTCTGAGAATCCTCCCTTTCTGATCTTAGGGAACTGTACTCTCTGTTCCCTAAAGACCTGTATGTGTGCTTCGGCACGAATGGGCCGGCTCGACCGGAGTGATACCACGGCCTCACAGAAAACCGACGTGAAGCAACGCTTGCGTTGTGTTTCGTCGTGTGAGTGAGGTTACCGGAGGCCCAATTACCCCTAGTCTCCAGAATCCCCGTATCCTCCACAATCTTCAAATTCCCAATCCCCAAAAGGCCGGTGACGCACTTGTAACGCCTTGGTGTTTCAAGTGTCCATGGGCGACGCCGATTGCTTACCATCAGCTGATCCGTCTGCTCGTTTACCGGCTTATGGTATAAAAAAATGTGTGTATGTATGAGTGTTTGTGCGAACCGAGTTTTCAGAAAAGTGTTAGTATATTAATTAAATTACTTCATAGAAGGGAGGGGGTTGAAGTAGGGTTTATTAAATGTAGTTTTTAAAAGAAATCTGTACAATTTTCAACCTAAAACTCTCTGATAGTTGTATTATAATGTAACATGGTATGTTTTCAGATTACCTCCCCGACTCAGAATTAATAAATTTCTCAAAGCGACGCAAAGTGGCTGAGATTACAGGCGAGATACAACAATACCAGAACCAACCGTACTGCCTCACTGTCGAACCTAAGACTCGGGTGAGTGTACACTATTTGATATACGCCGTGAAATTTATTTCGTCTAGCGGCAAAACGACTTGCCGTAAGGAGTGCTTTCGATGTATAAAGTAAAAACGATCTTGATGTGTTCCACGATGGATTAAGAGTATTTAGAGGCAGGATTATTGATGCACTATAGTATCATTTGTTATTGTTGTTGTTGGTGCTGCTTGCTGCTTTATACTTTGGCATCTGTTTTAGACTCTGACATTTCTTTAAATCATTGAAATTATTTTGATTCTCATTTAATTTAATTTAATTGACATTTCTTTGAAATCTTGACGATAATTTGACATTTTATTATATTATATTTGTATTAAATTATTATTATTAGACTTAATATGGCATAGATACTTGTTGATGTAAGAATTGTCGTGGCTGCTCACAAACCAGTTCCATATATTTAGCTATACATAGGTACGTCAAGTCGATGGTTAAAACAGTATTTTTATGTAACATTTTTTAGTCGCTAATACACTTGCATGTGGACAACACGCATTTCATTTTTCCACTCCCCTGCTCGTCGAGTGAACCTTATTACAAACACCATATGGTCCTTCGAGCCGGATACAACAGTCAAGTCGTCGAGCCAGGAGAACAAAAGGCCGCATTCCTAAGCAGCGATAAGCGAACCTTTTTTTTTGCACCTATTCAATTCCACGAATTAGCAAGTTGTTTACTACAATTTATTAGAAGACGTCATTACGACATTACACATCGGGAATCAGCTGCATTAGAGGTTCGTTATCAAGAAAAATGTGTTCGACCGAAGAACAACAACAACTTCTCTCCGTGTTGGAAGATACTGCTAACCTGTTACAGAAGACTCAAAGTAACCTGAGAAAATGTCCTAAACAACGGTTAACTAAAGGTTATATCGAAGCGCGAATGAAGATTATAGATGAATATTGGCATACATTTAAGTGTGCTCATCAAGATTTAGTGAAGATAACACCAAAAGCTCATAAAGGGACTTTGCCTTATTTCATGAATGATGAATTTTTTATCTATGAAGAATTATACAATGTGCTACAAGGTGACTTGAAAGATATGGTTACTGCATTATCGGGATCTTATGAATCAGGGTCAGCGAATTCTAGTTGTACCCTTCCAAATCAACAAAATAAATTCATACACTTACCGAAGATTCAACTACCGAAATTTTCTGGAACTTATGAGTCATGGCAAACATTTCAAGATTTATTTACATCATTAGTGCATAATAATTCTTCATTAAGTGATGTGCAAAAACTTCATTTCCTGAAAACAAGTGTTACGCACGAAGCTCAGACATTACTGAACAACATACAGGTCACAGATAACAATTATGCTCACGCATGGGATATCTTGAGGACAAGGTACGGGAATAAACGCTTAATATTGAATCATTCTATGAGAAGATTATTCAATCAAAAGAAGATGACTTCTCAATCAGCTTCTCAGCTAAAAGGATTGTTGGATACAACAACCGAATGTTTACATAGCTTAACCACTTTAAACATTGACACAAGCTCTTGGGATCCAGTTCTTATATATCTTCTCGTGCAGAAGATGGACCCAGAGACTCACAAAAACTGGGAAGAGTACGCGTATAAGGAAGATTCGGACTGTGTACCTACCTGGAGTGATCTTAAGAAGTTTTTAGAGACAAAGTTCCGTACATTAGAATTAACCAATCAAAATATTACCATCAAGGATTATAAAACAACTAAAGAACGTTCATTTTACGCTGCTACGCCAGTAACGGAGAAAGTTTGTGTTATGTGCAAGGATAACCACAGTTTAAGTCATTGCAAGGATTTCTGCAAATTGGAACCTAATAACAGGAGTGAATTTGTGAAGGAGAAACACTTATGTTACAATTGCTTGGTGCCAGGACATTCGGCATTTAAGTGCAAGGTGCCAGTGTCTTGTCGTCTATGCCACAGACGCCATCATTCCCTTTTACATGTTAAGAAGAACACAAAGCCAGAGGATTCCTCGGTCTCATCATCCCCAGCTGTAACACATGTAGAAGACGAGCAAGCAATACAAGTCAACACAATGATGACGTCACAATACAGCGCTAAGCAACGAGTAGCTCTTTTAGCAACAGCAGTGTGGAAGCTACAAACGAACAAGGACACACCATCTTACTGCGAGCGCTAGTCTGATCAAGGTTCTGAAGCAGCTTTCATTAGCGAGAAAGCGACTCAATTATTAAAGTTAGAACGACAACCGACTAAGGGAAGCATCATAGGAGTGGGATCCAATAGGACCGAATTGAAACATGTGGTACAGCTACAGATAAGATCACGATGGGACCGAAACTATTGTTTACCTATCAAGGCATACGTAATGCCCAAGCAACTGACCACAAGGATTCCCATGAAAACAATCAGCACACCAGAATGGTCACACATCCAAGGGCTCAACCTGGCTGATCCAACGTACTTCATGCCAGGGTCTATAGATCTGCTCCTAGGTGTAAAGGAATATGCTGACATTTTACAAAACAATATAATCAAAGGTCCACCAGGCACACCAAGCGCTCAGAAAACAAACCTAGGTTGGATTCTTTTTGGGGAAGTTTATACAACACAACATAACAATTATGTCGTCATGCATCACTCAGTCGACATCGAAGACATGTTAAAATCAATTTGGGAAATCGACTCAGATACTAAGAGACACTTAACAAAGGAAGAGCAACTGTGTGAAGAATTATACGAAAGAACAACTATTAGAACGAAAGAAGGAAGGTACATAGTTAGATTACCATTTAAAACAAACAGTCCACAATCACCTGATGGAAACACTAAATTGATAGCCATGAAGAGATTTGTTCTACTGGAAAAGAAATTCAATAAATCGCCAGACCTGAAAATAGATTATGCAAAAGTAATTAGTAATTATATAGAACAAGGACATTTAGAAAAGGTACCTGAAAAGGAAATAGATAAAAGATCTCTATACTTACCTCACCATGCGGTCATCCGTGATGATAAAGAGTCTTCTCGAACACGCGTTGTATTTGATGCATCGTGTAAAGGATCAAACAACCTTTCTTTAAATGATGAATTGCTCGTCGGTCCGCAGCTGCAAGAAGACTTAAGAAACATTCTAATGAGATGGAGAATGAAACGTATTTGTTTAGTAGCTGATATAACACAAATGTATCGGCAAATATTAGTGCATCCAGATGACACGGACTATCAGCGAATCTTATGGAGGCAGCATGAATCTGATATCCTAGAAGAATACCGATTGCTCAGAGTTACCTTTGGCACAGCTTCTGCACCTTATTTGGCTGTTAAAACACTTCAACAGGTAGCCAAAGATGAAGCGAATACAAACACCTTAGTTGCTCGAACTATTAACGAAGATTTTTATATGGATGATCTTTTGTCGGGTACAGACACAGTAGACGAAGCTATAACTCTATCACTCGAATTAACTCATACACTCAAAAGAGGAGGATTCATACTTACTAAATGGGCATCCAATAGTATTGAAGTCATGAAATCCATTGAAGAAGACAAACGATCAGTCAATGCAAGTATTGATTTGAATCTAAACGGAACCATAAAAGCACTTGGAATCACTTGGAATTTAAAATCAGATCGGTTTCAATACAATTGTAATTTTCCAACCAATGCCAAACCAATAACCAAACGCAAAATACTGTCGGATATACAAAAACTGTTCGATCCTCTGGGTTGGATTGCACCTACTACTGTTATGGCTAAAATACTTATACAAAAGCTTTGGCTTGAGAGATTGCAATGGGATGATGAAGTTAGTGATACCTTACAAGAAGAATGGCAGCAAATCAGATCTGATCTCAATAATATAAACGAAATAAAAATCGAAAGATGGCTTGGCACACTATCTTTTAGCAATAATAAAGCACAAATACATGGTTTCTCTGACGCATCAATGCGTGCATATGCAGCAGTAGTCTATATTAGGATTGAAAACTCTGATGGAAATATAGAAACAAAACTTATAGCTGCTAGGACGAGAGTGGCACCATTGAAAATAATTTCATTACCTCGCCTTGAGCTCAGTGGAGCCCTATTGCTTTCAAAACTAATGAAGCAAGTTGGAACATCAATGCGAATACCAACATCAAACATGATTGCATGGACCGACTCTTCGATCGTCATCGCATGGCTTTGTGGCGAACCCAATAGATGGAAGCCCTTTGTAGCAAACCGTGTGGTAGAAATAATCGAGAACCTCAATAATAAGCAATGGTACCACGTTCAGTCACACGAAAATCCCGCTGATTTGGCGTCACGAGGTATGTTGTTATCCGATCTGAAAGAAAGTAACTTGTGGTGGCACGGACCAAGCTGGCTATCTGAAAAAGAAATCAAGATTAAACATAAGAAAACAGAAACAGATTTAGAAATGAAGACAACTAAAATAAATACTTACCTTAATACAGAAGAAATCAGAGCCCGGGAAACATCATTACTATCACAATTCGAAAACTTTGAAACTTTAACAGAATTGATTAAAACTATTACTTATTGCAGAAGATTTTTAAACTGTAAGAAAAATAATTATTACGAAAATAATCAAATTTTAACAACACAAGAATTAGAAGATTCTTTAAACATCTGCATTAAAAAGGCACAAGAAGAAGAATTTAGAGAAGAAATAGATTGTTTAAAGGTCAAGAAACAAGTAAGAAAAAGAAGTCAGCTACGATCTCTAAATCCATATTTAGATGAGAAAAATATCCTCAGGGTGGGCGGTCGTTTGAGACATGCCAATTTACCAAACGACGCGAAGAATCCTATAATATTAGGCAAGACAAACCCTCTAACTAAGTTAATTGTTGCTAATGCACATCATAAAACACTGCATGGCGGAGTCCAGTTGATGCTTTGTTACCTACGTCTCAAATACTGGATTGTACGAGCTAAATCACTGGTCAAACAACATGTGCACAAATGCATGAAGTGTGCTCGTTTCAATGCAACAACCAAAGCACAAATAATGGGTGACTTACCTATAGAAAGAGTTACGCCTACGAGACCGTTTCTGCACAGTGGTGTGGATTTCGCAGGACCATTTCAAACACTAGTGTCTAAAGGCAGAGGAAACAAAACAACTAAAACATATATTGCAATATTTATATGCATGTCCACAAAGGCAATCCACATAGAATTAGTGGGAGGTCTTACCTCAGAAGCGTTTATCGCAGCATTTAGACGTTTTGTTGCCAGGAGAGGTAAATGCAGTCATCTGTGGAGTGACCGAGGTAAAAACTTCGTGGGAGCAGGTAGAGAACTTTATGAGTTATGGAATGAAGCACAGATGACAACAGAAATAGCAAATACACTAACTGCCGATGGCACTCAATTCCACTTTATTCCACCATACAGCCCGAATTTCGGAGGATTGTGGGAAGCAGGCGTTAAATCAATAAAATACCATCTGAAACGCATAATAACTACTAACTTCACGTTTGAGGAATTGACGACGATATTGTGCCAGATAGAAGCCTGCCTTAACTCACGACCCTTATGTCCTATAGATGATACTGACTCAGAAAACGTAAATCCATTAACTCCTGGACATTTTTTGATAGGGGAACCACCTATAGTGGTACCCTCGCCTGATTTTCAAGCTGTGAAAATGCATAATTTGACACGTTGGCAACACGCACAGAAGCTCCTGAACGATTTTTGGCGTCGATGGCAAGAAGAATATCTGACTAGACTTCAGCAGCGTCCTAAATGGATGAAGAAGGAGAAAGAATTTTCAATAGGCGATATTGTGTTGATAAAGACTGATAATCTGCCACCCGGAAAATGGTCTTTAGGGCGAATTATAGAAAAACATCCAGGCGCAGATGGTCATACCAGAGTATATAGTGTGAAAAATGGAAATTCTATTACGAAGAGAACAATTACTAAGTTATGTGCACTGCCTGTTGATTCCACTTAGACATGAACGATTTTTATTGAATCATTAATTGTTAGATTTTATAATTCATAAGAAATTTAAGTCAATTGATTTTTCTTGAACTTATATTGTAGATTGCATTTTTGTACGTTTTGAACCTTGCTTTATATAACTTCACATATGTACGTACTTAGATTACTAAATGATCTTATTTTATTTTTAAAAGAACTTAAAGTCCTTTTGGTGGGCGGTATGTTGATGTAAGAATTGTCGTGGCTGCTCACAAACCAGTTCCATATATTTAGCTATACATAGGTACGTCAAGTCGATGGTTAAAACAGTATTTTTATGTAACATTTTTTAGTCGCTAATACACTTGCATGTGGACAACACGCATTTCATTTTTCCACTCCCCTGCTCGTCGAGTGAACCTTATTACAAACACCAATACTAATTAATTTTTGTTGTTAATTTGTTTTGTTTTAATCAGACATCTTGTTAAATTCTCATTTTAATGTGTGTATGGTGTGGATTATTGCTGTTATTTTCTTTTGTATAATTCTTAAATTGGATTTTATTTTTAAGCCACTGTTAAGCCTATGAATTGCCAGTGCTATGTACGCCATTATTGTCGCATGCATCAGACCTTTATTTTGTTACTATTGTGTATTTTGAATGTTATATGTTTGTGATGTGGCCGTACTCTTTCGAATAAATAAATAAATAAAATAAAACAAAAAAATAATAACCTTCAAGAAAAGAGCGTATTCGTTTATAAAAGGCCTGCAACGCACCTGTGACTCCTCTGGTGTTGCGGGTGTCCATGGGCGGCGCTGATCGCTTACCACTAGATGAGCGTCTGCTCGTTAGTTCCAATTCTATAAAAAAAAAGTAAGATGTTCATGGAAATACGCACTTGAAACACTAGACGTATATTTGTAAGCACTATTCGCATCGCACGTGCCACCCGACGAGAAATACTTTGTCTAGAATTACATGGTGTGATGTTTTGATAATGTACTATGAGTTCGTATGCGCTTTCGAAGTTTGCTAATTGCAATGGTTTACAGTTATTGTATTTGTTTGTAAAACCATTGTATTACCGAGACAGAACCATTTTACTTCGGGACGAAAACGAAATAGATTTCACGGCGTATTATTACTCATGAGACATATACATTAATTTATTATGTTAAAAAGGCTTATTCGCGTAACTTTATCGAGGAACCCGACTAGTTTTAAGCCTAGCCATTAAACGTCATAATTCATATAAAGTTCTACATACTAAATCGTTTTTTTCCTATTGCAGGCGTTCTTAGAATCACTGGATCCCTTCCCGGGCAAGGACGACAACGAGATCACAAACTATTTATACGCAAAGAGTTTAGAAATCGAACCTAGACTCGCCAAGCAGCTGCCTAAGTTTGTGAGTATTGTACCAACTAAGATATTATTACGAATTAAATAATTTTAAATTAATAATGTATTTTTATATTAAAGATGACTTTTGAAAAGTAAATTTCGTACAATTGTAAGCAATCGATTGAGTTTTTACAGCTTATTAACATGACGTTACTATTTAAAGAAGACTCGACTGATTTCAAACTATGCTTGGAGCTTACTCACGTAACTGTTTGACGAGGAACTCGACTAGTTTCAAGCCATGCTAGAGGCTCATATTCATGAGCAGTATTCCGCGAGCCGCGATTAACGAACAATTTTTTTTTGTTGATTAATATTGTTGATTATCAATGGCGATGTGGAAGTATATGAAGTCTCCCCTCCCCCCCAGCCCCGCAAGTACCCGGAGCTGAACCCGAAGCCGCTGAAGGTGTCGCGGCGCGCGGCGCACGACGCGCCCAACAACTCCAGCTCCTCGACCGCCTCGCACTGCGACGACACCATCAGTACGTATATATTCATACTACCTACTCTCGCGCGGCGCACGACGCGCCCAACAACTCCAGCTCCTCGACCGCCTCGCACTGCGACGACACCATCAGTACGTATATATTCATACTACCTACTCTCGCGCGGCGCACGACGCGCCCAACAACTCCAGCTCCTCGACCGCCTCGCACTGCGACGACACCATCAGTACGTATATATTCATACTACTACTCTCGCGCACGACGCGCCCAACAACTCCAGCTCCTCGACCGCCTCGCACTGCGACGACACCATCAGTACGTATATATTCATACTACCTACTCTCGCGCGGCGCACGACGCGCCCAACAACTCCAGCTCCTCGACCGCCTCGCACTGCGACGACACCATCAGTACGTATATATTCATACTACCTACTCTCGCGCACGACGCGCCCAACAACTCCAGCTCCTCGACCGCCTCGCACTGCGACGACACCATCAGTACGTATATATTCATATACTACCTACTCTCGCGCACGACGCGCCCAACAACTCCAGCTCCTCGACCGCCTCGCACTGCGACGACACCATCAGTACGTATATATTCATACTACCTACTCTCGCGCACGACGCGCCCAACAACTCCAGCTCCTCGACCGCCTCGCACTGCGACGACACCATCAGTACGTATATATTCATACTACCTACTCTCGCGCACGACGCGCCCAACAACTCCAGCTCCTCGACCGCCTCGCACTGCGACGACACCATCAGTACGTATATATTCATACTACCTACTCTCGCGCACGACGCGCCCAACAACTCCAGCTCCTCGACCGCCTCGCACTGCGACGACACCATCAGTACGTATATATTCATACTACCTACTCTCGCGCGGCGCACGACGCGCCCAACAACTCCAGCTCCTCGACCGCCTCGCACTGCGACGACACCATCAGTACGTATATATTCATACTACCTACTCTCGCGCACGACGCGCCCAACAACTCCAGCTCCTCGACCGCCTCGCACTGCGACGACACCATCAGTACGTATATATTCATACTACCTACTCTCGCGCGGCGCACGACGCCCAACAACTCCAGCTCCTCGACCGCCTCGCACTGCGACGACACCATCAGTACGTATATATTCATACTACCTACTCTCGCGCGGCGCACGACGCGCCCAACAACTCCAGCTCCTCGACCGCCTCGCACTGCGACGACACCATCAGTACGTATATATTCATACTACCTACTCTCGCGCGGCGCACGACGCGCCCAACAACTCCAGCTCCTCGACCGCCTCGCACTGCGACGACACCATCAGTACGTATATATTCATACTACCTACTCTCGCGCACGACGCGCCCAACAACTCCAGCTCCTCGACCGCCTCGCACTGCGACGACACCATCAGTACGTATATATTCATACTACCTCTCGCGCACGACGCGCCCAACAACTCCAGCTCCTCGACCGCCTCGCACTGCGACGACACCATCAGTACGTATATATTCATACTACCTACTCTCGCGCGGCGACGCGCCCAACAACTCCAGCTCCTCGACCGCCTCGCACTGCGACGACACCATCAGTACGTATATATTCATACTACCTACTCTCGCGCACGACGCGCCCAACAACTCCAGCTCCTCGACCGCCTCGCACTGCGACGACACCATCAGTACGTATATATTCATACTACCTACTCTCGCGCGGCGCACGACGCCCAACAACTCCAGCTCCTCGACCGCCTCGCACTGCGACGACACCATCAGTACGTATATATTCATACTACCTACTCTCGCGCGGCGCACGACGCGCCCAACAACTCCAGCTCCTCGACCGCCTCGCACTGCGACGACACCATCAGTACGTATATATTCATACTACCTACTCTCGCGCACGACGCGCCCAACAACTCCAGCTCCTCGACCGCCTCGCACTGCGACGACACCATCAGTACGTATATATTCATACTACCTACTCTCGCGCACGACGCGCCCAACAACTCCAGCTCCTCGACCGCCTCGCACTGCGACGACACCATCAGTACGTATATATTCATACTACCTACTCTCGCGCGGCGCACGACGCGCCCAACAACTCCAGCTCCTCGACCGCCTCGCACTGCGACGACACCATCAGTACGTATATATTCATACTACCTACTCTCGCGCGGCGCACGACGCGCCCAACAACTCCAGCTCCTCGACCGCCTCGCACTGCGACGACACCATCAGTACGTATATATTCATACTACCTACTCTCGCGCGGCGCACGACGCGCCCAACAACTCCAGCTCCTCGACCGCCTCGCACTGCGACGACACCATCAGTACGTATATATTCATACTACCTACTCTCGCGCGGCGCACGACGCGCCCAACAACTCCAGCTCCTCGACCGCCTCGCACTGCGACGACACCATCAGTACGTATATATTCATACTACCTACTCTCGCGCGGCGCACGACGCGCCCAACAACTCCAGCTCCTCGACCGCCTCGCACTGCGACGACACCATCAGTACGTATATATTCATACTACCTACTCTCGCGCGGCGCACGACGCGCCCAACAACTCCAGCTCCTCGACCGCCTCGCACTGCGACGACACCATCAGTACGTATATATTCATACTACCTACTCTCGCGCGGCGCACGACGCGCCCAACAACTCCAGCTCCTCGACCGCCTCGCACTGCGACGACACCATCAGTACGTATATATTCATACTACCTACTCTCGCGCACGACGCGCCCAACAACTCCAGCTCCTCGACCGCCTCGCACTGCGACGACACCATCAGTACGTATATATTCATACTACCTACTCTCGCGCACGACGCGCCCAACAACTCCAGCTCCTCGACCGCCTCGCACTGCGACGACACCATCAGTACGTATATATTCATACTACCTACTCTCGCGCACGACGCGCCCAACAACTCCAGCTCCTCGACCGCCTCGCACTGCGACGACACCATCAGTACGTATATATTCATACTACCTACTCTCGCGCACGACGCGCCCAACAACTCCAGCTCCTCGACCGCCTCGCACTGCGACGACACCATCAGTACGTATATATTCATACTACCTACTCTCGCGCACGACGCGCCCAACAACTCCAGCTCCTCGACCGCCTCGCACTGCGACGACACCATCAGTACGTATATATTCATACTACCTACTCTCGCGCACGACGCGCCCAACAACTCCAGCTCCTCGACCGCCTCGCACTGCGACGACACCATCAGTACGTATATATTCATACTACCTACTCTCGCGCGGCGCACGACGCGCCCAACAACTCCAGCTCCTCGACCGCCTCGCACTGCGACGACACCATCAGTACGTATATATTCATACTACCTACTCTCGCGCACGACGCGCCCAACAACTCCAGCTCCTCGACCGCCTCGCACTGCGACGACACCATCAGTACGTATATATTCATACTACCTACTCTCGCGCGGCGCACGACGCGCCCAACAACTCCAGCTCCTCGACCGCCTCGCACTGCGACGACACCATCAGTACGTATATATTCATACTACCTACTCTCGCGCGGCGCACGACGCGCCCAACAACTCCAGCTCCTCGACCGCCTCGCACTGCGACGACACCATCAGTACGTATATATTCATACTACCTACTCTCGCGCGGCGCACGACGCGCCCAACAACTCCAGCTCCTCGACCGCCTCGCACTGCGACGACACCATCAGTACGTATATATTCATACTACCTACTCTCGCGCACGACGCGCCCAACAACTCCAGCTCCTCGACCGCCTCGCACTGCGACGACACCATCAGTACGTATATATTCATACTACCTACTCTCGCGCACGACGCGCCCAACAACTCCAGCTCCTCGACCGCCTCGCACTGCGACGACACCATCAGTACGTATATATTCATACTACCTACTCTCGCGCGGCGCACGACGCGCCCAACAACTCCAGCTCCTCGACCGCCTCGCACTGCGACGACACCATCAGTACGTATATATTCATACTACCTACTCTCGCGCACGACGCGCCCAACAACTCCAGCTCCTCGACCGCCTCGCACTGCGACGACACCATCAGTACGTATATATTCATACTACCTACTCTCGCGCGGCGCACGACGCGCCCAACAACTCCAGCTCCTCGACCGCCTCGCACTGCGACGACACCATCAGTACGTATATATTCATACTACCTACTCTCGCGCGGCGCACGACGCGCCCAACAACTCCAGCTCCTCGACCGCCTCGCACTGCGACGACACCATCAGTACGTATATATTCATACTACCTACTCTCGCGCACGACGCGCCCAACAACTCCAGCTCCTCGACCGCCTCGCACTGCGACGACACCATCAGTACGTATATATTCATACTACCTACTCTCGCGCGGCGCACGACGCGCCCAACAACTCCAGCTCCTCGACCGCCTCGCACTGCGACGACACCATCAGTACGTATATATTCATACTACCTACTCTCGCGCGGCGCACGACGCGCCCAACAACTCCAGCTCCTCGACCGCCTCGCACTGCGACGACACCATCAGTACGTATATATTCATACTACCTACTCTCGCGCGGCGCACGACGCGCCCAACAACTCCAGCTCCTCGACCGCCTCGCACTGCGACGACACCATCAGTACGTATATATTCATACTACCTACTCTCGCGCGGCGCACGACGCGCCCAACAACTCCAGCTCCTCGACCGCCTCGCACTGCGACGACACCATCAGTACGTATATATTCATACTACCTACTCTCGCGCACGACGCGCCCAACAACTCCAGCTCCTCGACCGCCTCGCACTGCGACGACACCATCAGTACGTATATATTCATACTACCTACTCTCGCGCACGACGCGCCCAACAACTCCAGCTCCTCGACCGCCTCGCACTGCGACGACACCATCAGTACGTATATATTCATACTACCTACTCTCGCGCGGCGCACGACGCGCCCAACAACTCCAGCTCCTCGACCGCCTCGCACTGCGACGACACCATCAGTACG